AGAGGCCAGGAGGGGCCCAAGCAGCTGGTTTTGTGAGACTGATCTTCGTCTGACCTCTATCCATTAGCCTTGCGGGCATGATTGGATCTGCGGCTGTAAGGAGCCATCCTGTGTATAGCAAATGAAGCGTGAACTGAAAAGCTTGGAAGTACTGGACAACTGTTTCGACCTGGTTGGGTCTCATCAGCAGTGCGAACCCATCGACCGGACTGGGGATCGAACCCGGGACTTCATGGGCAGAACGCAAGCATGCTACCCACTCGGCCACTAAGTAGATGATCAGACTGTTTTTCATTTACCATTTACACGATGCAGCACAACCCATCTTTGCGAGCTTGCTGCGGGCGACAGACCCTGCTAATCTCAGCACTAGCCTCCAGGGTTACGACTCGACTGGAAGCATTCACAACCTGACCACTTATTTCATGTGGGTAACGGGGGATTTGATTAAATTTCAAATGGGAATTCGTCGTGTTTATAGCAAATGAAGCGTGAACTGAACAAATCATAGTACAATAATCGTAATAACAAAAGAGAATTCTCCATGATTTGTTTGTGGGCAGGATACTACCAGCTTGCTTAGACCAAGACAGGTCGATTTTCTTGAGGAATTCACAACTAGAGCCTTTTACTAGTGCTGGCAGATACTCCTTACTTGCACGTAATACGCGATGCGATCAGCGGTTTCTTTCAACAGTCAAAAATGAACAAGACCTGTTAGAAATAATTGTTCCGTACGGCGAATACAAGAATGCGCATCCAACAATGGAATTTTTGATCAACTATTCTGTATTCCGGGAATTTCGCAGACTTGTCCCAAATGAGATATTTTCTTGTATGAATGACAATTTACCGATACCCTGATCGCTATTCCTAATAGTCAACTATCCTCGATCAGGCACTGCCTTGTGGAATTATAACACTTTGACTCAGTTTGTTTTGTGCCAAAGCTCCGTTTAACCGTTACGTATTGACTGTGTTGAGATGAATCGAAGTTGTCCTGAACATACATAAATCGTGCGGTATTTGAATATGGCCTTTTTGTAAATAATCTCGGGAATGACCGTTTGATACTTGTCCACCTTCCATGCGTTTTCCCGTCAAACTTTCGGTTTAAAATTGTATTTTGTATTTCTACAGTAGATTGTCCGGTCCACTGTTTCCCACGCCTATATTTACCCACACAGCTTTCGTATGGCCGCGGATCCCCTCCTAAAGTTTGGCTGTACGTCTCTATATTCAGTAAAATAAAAAGGAAACAAGGAGGTAAGATGACGATATAAACACGGTACCATCATTGCATGTGCCAATCGTTGTTTGGGATCTCTTTGCCAACTCATATCTTATTTTACGTTTGCTTTTCGACATGGTTTAACTTAAGAAATTATGAGTGTTACGTTTACTATCGTATCACGTTCAGTTCTGCACCACATGTTAGACGGGCCTAAGTGACTCATCGTTGTCCAATCATCTGCTTCTAGATTTACTTTTATGGTTATGGGACGGGAGTGGCGTGATGCAAACAAGTCATCTATTACATTTCAACCTGGTTTAATGAAGCGATTGGGAGGGGCAAATGAAAAGTTTGCGTGTGGCAATATACTTTTTCTCTTGTCAATCATGAGTTAACAGGTTATCCATCATCAGATGTGTTTCACTCCTTTCCATCGACGTTTTCCAATGAAACATGTTGCTCATATTGTTTTTTTCGTGACATATGATCACCACATCATTGTAGATAAATCATCCTTTTCATTGTAATTTATCGTTCTGTCATTCCCAACCTGAAACTAGGTTTAATCTTCAACTCATTCCCGTTAGTAATGCTAGGAATGAGTCGAAAATTCTATTTCGCTTGTTCGCCGAGCTTGGCAACGAGAAGTGATTTTCAATACTTTGTCAGGAGTCGAAAATTGCACCCAGTTGAAGGATGAGAATGTTGAAAAGATAAATGACAACGGAAAGGATGATTTGTCTACAATGATCTAGTGAGCATATGCCACGAAAAAAAAACAATATAAACATACTTCAGTGGAAAACCTCGGAATGAAGTGCGCTTGATGATAAATAACCTGTTAACTCGGGTGGTGGTGGCGTAGTGGCGTAGTGGTTTAGTCGGAGTCACGAGCGTGCTTTGGACCCTATGGTTCGAGCCCCGCCACCGCCATCCGACTTTGGTAGTAGGTAGCTTTGCTGTCGTCCGGTTAAATACCACGCCTAACCTATTGGGACCTTATTTGGTTCAGCACTCCAAGCCCCGGAACTTAGGTCACCGGTGTCCATCAGTGAACAGCAGGTCCTCGTGACTACGTTGTTTACCCCAGCTGCTTTTCAACACACTTAGGTGTATAATAAAAAACTCAAATGATATGAAGGGAAAAAGCTTATTTTCGGATGCATGCTTATCATTTGCCCCTCCTAATCGCCTCAGTGAAATATGTTGAGATGTACATGCAACAATGGATGGCGTGTTTGCATCTCACAACACTGATTTCTTTCTGAAAGTGTGAATCGGATAAAAGGATCATACTGCCTTAATAATCGAAACAGAAAGCTGCATGTTTTGTGTGAGGCACTGGTGCTTCACACGCATTAGTTGTCTTTGGATTGCGAAAAAACAATATCAGAGGGCATGCGCAACCGACGGGAAACTAGCGAACTGACCTGTGAGACCAGCTTTCGTTTGATATTGTCTGAACTCCGATAAGGCACTAAGTCCACAGCGCTTAACACGGGAATCGCCGGTGTTTTGATTTCGCCCACGCTTGCAAAGGCATTCGAAAAGGGTTTCGTGGCAGATTCCATCAACGGTGTATGAAACGCGCCCGAAACTTGCAACCGTTTTACTCGTCGAATACCGAATTGGGCAGCATTCTGTTCGATAAATTCTATTGCCTAGATATAACAAATGAATCGATCCAACAAGACAACAGTGATAATAAAAACATATCAAATGAGGAACATTTGTTACACAACGAAAGCAACAAGTTAACAGCCCAGTGTCATAGAATAAGTAATAGTTCAAACTTATTTCACCAGAACCCAGGAGGAGGATAGGGGACCGCGTGAAGTCGGATGCGTTTATGCGCTGCAGATAGTGTCAACTACTCCGGTGGAAGCTAGATCCAAAAATGTTGAACCTAGCCATGAGAAATAGGTAAATAAAACCAATTGCGATGATACCCTTGGAACCTGAAACGCTTCAAGAAAAAGAAAACACGCTGATTTCATAATAGTTCTGCGACAACTACAATCATTAACCTTTGAACTTATCTTCCATAACAAATTCGTGACTTAAAAACCAAAAGCGTAACCTTAACTCACCCATGACATGAATTTGAGTACATGAGTGGTGCAGGAATGTAACTGATCATTGGGAACATATTAAGATAAAAGTTTCTTGAAAACAAACCTATACGCGCAAACAAATGCGTTCTAAACGGCCAATATAAAATCCTTAGCATTTTAAACTGATGAGAGTACAGGGTGACTAATCATGTTTTCTTAAATAATCAGTTGCTAATCATGTAATAAGAGTATACTGTGTGCCGGAAGAGAAGCCCAACATGTGTTGATAAAATTAGGTATCGTGCCGAAGGTTATATCAAAATGGAACTATAATATAATGAGGCCTAAAAACACCAAGGAATGTTTCTTACACTGCCACGTTTCCTGATCATTGAGCAGAAGCAATGTAGAGCAACACTGTGTTGCTACGTTAACGTTACAGCAGAGTTTGCATAAACTAATAAATTATCACCACCTCACAGTAGTTACAACGTTTACATTGAGTCGTTATAAATCAGATCAGATTTACTTTTTCATGGTCGGCCCTGTGGGACGACAAACCGGTCTCAGGATTAACAGGAAGTTCCGGAAAGAGTCTTGGGTTGTAAATAGTCACCCTTACCATGCACCTCCCGTAATGTTCCTGTAGGACCAGGTGTCTCGAACAGCGCCTGCTGAGCAAGCCATACTTACTGTCTTATCTTAGCGTAGTGTTTCCGCACATCAAAGTGAGAGGACGGAAAGCAAACATACAGGTCAATGAACCATTGGCAGTCCACCTAGGAAAGTGGGCTAAAGATGTTGATTCTACAAATTGACTGAGAAGAGACAAAAATCATATACATACACCTCTTAATCAAGCATCAGGATGTATGGGACCTGACACAGTGGGTACCAGTCACCATTTGACCACGATTCCGTTACCTTGCAGATGAAGCTTTTGCTAATCGAAGGTTCTAGTTGTAGAACCGCAAGGAAATTCACTTGCTTGAGATTGGAAAACCTGGCAGTATTGCGCTTACGAGCGAAGAATTTACCGAGTTATTTGTTACAAAGATTTTTGTACAGTGATTTATTCAGCACAGTCTGAAAATCGCCAGTAATAATAGTACAATAGATGTCTCCAGCGTGATGGGTTTTTAATTCAATGGAGCTCATTCAGTCTAATCCATACCATAAGGGAGTAGTGTATTAATTCGTGATTGGCAGTGGTCTACCAAGAGCCCTTTCGGTAGATGTGGATTCAACTCACGGATATATGTAAAAATCCCTGTTGGTTTGACAGATTTGCTTTATGATCGTTGAATGAAGCAGTAGATTTCGACTGCCCATTCAGAAGTAGCTGCTTCGCATTCTGTAGGTGGTCACGTCGAGGTTTTGCGCGTAGTTAGGCTCAAATACGATGGTGCAAACTGCCGAGTGGTCTACCGGAGATGTCTTTTCTCATGAGGGATAAACGATGCTTCGTCTAACTTTTCCACTTAATTGTAACTTATGACAGCTTCCTTTTTGTTCACGTTCTCCTAGTTTCATCACAATCTAATGGTGAGATGAGGTAAACAAAACTAAGATAACTGTTGTCAAGCTCACATTACGTAAAGTAGGAAAGTGTAGGGTTAATAGAGAATTCGCCTGTTTTGAGGAAGGGGAAAAGGATGTGCACTTCTATTCTCATCAGAGTACAGAGTCTAACTGTACATACAGACCTAGAAGTGCCCTGGCCTGAAAGAAATGAAAACAAGAACGCCAGTGCAGTCAGTTTGCTGTATTGTCCTTCAGCGTATCCAATCAACCATTTACTGAGTCTATCGGACCCCAGCCTGGAAAACAAAAAAATAAGTACTCTGCCTTATTCCCCTGTGTATTACTTCATACCGCGCTTCCACGTCATCGATTAACTTCCATGTGCTTTTATTCAGTCTGAAGCGGCAACTGGAAATAAGGCTTGTTATGGTTGAAAATAGCATGTCTGAACAATCCGTCGTAACTAGCGAAACCCATACATCAGAATTCCGTACAGAAATGAACTTTCTATCCAAAACATCCCCAAATATGGTGACTCGCTTTGAAAAGATCAGATTTCCGTCAGGTTCAGCTGCTTTTACTTTCTTGAATAAAGGAATACACGTTCATGCACTTACTTCTGTCGAGATTCACATGAAACCGCTCATGGAGCTTCAGCTGCAACCGCCGGAGAAGGCTAGCAAGTACTAGCACAAATTTTCCCTGAAAGTACTCTGAGCAAAAATCACACCGCCGTCGCTTATGTTGAATGGTCGGTGCGCTTTTATCGCAACTGGTTTCATTGACTGGGATCCTCCGAATTCCAGTATTGCGCGGACAGCGGCATAAATTTGACTCGAGGAGGCAGGTTATCTGATCTGGAGTGTGCGGAAGACATCGCATTACCCAGTAGAGACCTAGGTAAGTTGCAAGCTTTTCTAAATAGTTAGAATGAGAATGTTGGCATGTTTGGCACGCGCTTTGTATCTTCAAAGTGTAAAATGTTACAGAAGTGGGTTGGCCCAACCTCACTCTAACTGAGAAAGTAATAGAGGAACTAGATAACTCTTGATATTTGAGCAACCATCTCACTTGAAAGACGCATTCCGACTAGACTGTACCTTGACGTAGTGTAACGGTTTGTGCACCTCTTTGACGCAACGAGATTTCGTCAAGCCGAAGATCTCGTAGTTCTGAAAGGTCAAAGGGCAGAGGTCAGAAAAAAGTTGTCTGCTGGTATTCCACGTTGGGAGTTCGACTCGATTTAGTATCTAAGTTGATGAAAAGACGGAGGAATAAACAATCCATGTCAATAGGCCCCACTCCGCCTTACCCGCTGCCTTGCGGCTAGGTTCTTGTCAAAACCAAAGACTTCGACCGAGACCCTCAATCGTTCTCGTTGCTTCCTGGTTGGACTCCCTAACAGTATTTCTCTGTAAAGCTACAATGAACACAAACTAGAGATAATTACAGAATGCATCGATCGTCGCGTAAGATAATCAGCACAGGTGATCCATTGCATTGAGCGGGGTGAGTAGTGATAAGCGGACTACCACTCAGACAACCCAATCCTTGTTTAACTATGTCTCGCATCCAACCCTCTTCCTTTTCCCCTTCCTCTGGCCTGTAACAGTTCCTCGAGCAACTTGGTTGTTGTTTGCCAAAGGTCGTTGCCAAATAGCACTGTTGGTAATTTGTCGCAAATAGATTGCAGATTCCCAAGCCTCATCAATAACTGAAACTGGGGGGCCCTAAACCAGGACTATAGTGCAAGTGGATTAACACGGTTTTTCGGCATGTACAATGGAATTCTCAGCATCCCAAAGCCTCAGTATGGTCGGAGTGGGGTTTTTGCGTTGTGGCTGGTTACGCTTCCCTTGCACCTGAAGAAATGCTCCCACTGAACCGAGCGTCTCAAACAGCCTCTATTGAAGAAGCCCCACTCAAAGCCTTCTGACGGCATAGGTGTTTCCTCACTGAAATAAAAGGACAAAAAGCAAACAGTAGGGGGGCTATAACCGGATTGGTGAAACACTGTAAGTTCACCTCGGGAAGTTGGCTAAAAGCCCTGATTCCAGACCAACTAAGAAGAGTAAGAATCACACACCCACACCTTCGTGGTTGTAGCAGTGGTTACCGGCTCGATAGGGCATCTAGGTGTACTGGGCCCCTTGGACGTTTGAGCCCGTTCAACGGGCGTATGATCTGATGAACTGGACACCGGTCCCTGATGGATTGCGGTTTTCGCACACCGCCGTGCCTCCTTGCGGGTCAGACTTTGGCTAGTAAAAGACTACGGCTTTGAGTTCCCTAAGAAAATTCACGTTTTGTTTTGGGCACCGTGGAAGTATTTGACTCAAACGAGCCGTGGAGTTTTCTTTTCTTATAAAGGTACTGTACAATGATTTTTTGACATACCGACTACTTTAAACCGCTTGAGTGCGCCGGATTGATCCTCGGGGAACGTCATTTGCACATCAGGCAGCGGCAAGGTCCACGCAGGATGAGTACCGCACTCGGTAGCCGATGCGTCTCTCATCGTTTGATTCCCCGTCAACAATCATTTTTGTGTGATGCGCATTCAGCGGTCATCCATTGCCCGGAATGGAACCAACATCAAAAGGTGATTATCATCCCAGCATATGTACCGACCAACTACAGTTCTGTTATACAAAAGGATGATTTTAACAATTAATTCATCGAACCCATTCAGTTGGGCCTAAGCTCCGATATAGTTAAAAGTTATTTAAACTGGAACTAAAGTTGACGTCCTATATCAGCTCTAACAGTAATTGGATATACCCCGAAGCAGTGGTTACTTCCATTTCACTGTCTGTTTTGCCCTATTAATTTTCACGATCTGTCTTGAGAATTTTCGTGAGCTGATATTGCAGATGACGTCTATCCTCGTTTTGATTCAGGCCGGTAGGGATTTGTCGCTCGTCCTTCATCACGGATAGAGAAAGAGACCCAATGCCACGGACGAGCTTTAGGCTCGGATCCATGAGACCTTTTCCGCTGAATGCACTGCACGTTAGATCTGATCCCACCGTTCGCCCATTATATCGCGTTGTACAGCGCCTAGTGTATGCCTTAGCTCTTGTTCATAGCGAGCATAAGCAGTGGGAATAGACAGGCAATAACAGAGTAATCTAGTTTGCGGCTTTTGAGGATATCAATGCGCAAAGCGCATCAAAAGTAGTGCGTGATCATACCCAACGTGATCCAATGTGATCTTTATCTTTACACTGAATCAAGTCAACCGTCGCTTATTGCCCTGTGGTCAGTATGGATCAGCTCATCCTTTGGATAGGACCACCACGTTGCCGGTTGTACTGGCGGTTGGTACCAGATAGGAACAAACGGTAGTTTGCGCGGAATCGAAGAAGTCGATCGCCGTTATCTATTCACTGGTATAAAGAGGCTTCTGACGCACATTAGTAACGCCTGACAGCACTGGTTAGTTTATGGTAGATATTGTCCTTTTGTGTAGATAAACTGCAGCGGATCAGCGCGTATGCTGAACTGATGAATAAACATTGAATACTGACTGAACCACGGGGCGGTATCGCTAATAAGCGACTATTGACGGGACCCAATAGGCAAATGAGGCTTCGACCCCATTATTAGTTGCAATACCTACCACACTGACTAACCTAACGGGCTTTGCCGTCGTTAGATCGGCGCAGGAAGAACCTCAAGGACAAAGAGGGTGCACTAAGGTGGATAATAGTACTAGGATCCAGAATTAGCATCTCCGATAAGCAGCAGACCTCAATTGCTAGAGTGTCCCTTATACTATCAACATTAGATTGTTGACCAATCTGTATGATTATTCAAGTTAAGGAGTCTCCCGATTCAAAGGTCGGTGCGGCTCGAGAACCTACAATTATGTCAGTCATGATCAGATCATTTGTCTCCTTGAAAACCATGAAAGTGTAACTCATTAGATCAAAGAGGTACATATGCATCACACTATATTAATGTTCTGTCTATTCCTAAAGATTGTAGTGCAATCAAGAGAAGAATGTTAAATTATCCTCTTGTAGCGGAAATGTACTTGAACTTACCTAATTTAATATTGCGATACTGAAACTAAAGGGGTTACTGGCTACACGTGAAACAACAACCCAATGACTTCTGGTGTACATTCATATCGATTTACGCTAACCTCGATATGAGAGGTTGTATTAAAGAAAAACAAAAATGTGTCGCAAACTCGCAGTTCGATGATAAGGAGAAACATGGAGTGAAACTACTTGCGAAATGTCTGATTCGAGCTGATTGATCAATGAAAATGCTCACGTACGATGGAGCGATGGTTAGTAAACTTACCGCTAAATTACCGGCCACAACTTTGCATTCAGAGTACAAGTAATTCACAACAGCACAATATGGTTTGTCCAACCTGAGCGTTGTTTCACAATGATTCTTTGCAGCCAGTATAGCCAGTTTTAGCTGCGAGGTATGATCTAAGAAAACCGAACACATAGCGCCTTTGACGCGTTCACTCGCCTCGTGCATAACATGAGCACGCACACGAACTAGATGCAATCCTGAGAACAGTGAAAGTTAAAAGAAGTGAATTGTACCTTGCTCAAATGTCAAGGCACCGGCGAAAACAAGAGCGGTTACTTCGCCTAAACTGAAACCAGCAGTGGCCACACACTTTTCTACAACCTGAGGGGGTTTAGAATAGTTCACATCACTTACATCAGGATCATCCTCTTGTAGCTTGGTTACTGCAGCCAATGACACAGTATAAACTGCTGGTTGGCAATGTAATGTTTGATCCAACTTTGCGGATGGACCTTCGAGGCAAGTTTTCATTAAATTCGTTCGCAGCATTTCGTTTGCACATTCGAACATATGGCGAACCTTTGGAATGTCTATTAGATTTTTCCCCATTCCGACAAATTGTGAACCCTGACCGGGGAACAAGAATATACTGGTCGACTGA